GCTCCCCTTTTCCATTGTAGATGCAGTATTTTGGTTTGAAAAATCAATTATCCTTTCTTTGACATGTTTGTTTTATGTGAAGCAGGGTTTTTAATAGGACATTTTAATGCAAAGACGAAGGGTGGGGTTGTTATGTGCATGTGTCTACGCTTTCTGCCGAGGTCAAATCCGTCGGCGGAACTTCAAAGGCGGTCTTAATGGTGGCGGTTATTGGAGTTGGACGACTGAGGACGGACCACTGCATGGCAGAGTAAAAACAGTTTGAATGTTTACTTTCCTTAAACAGTAAAACAGGTTTAGTTGCGAATACTCCCAGAGAAATATACCTTCGTGAAAGCTAAAATGTAGGCGGCTATTCGTGTATATTTTGGTTATGACTCCTGTTGATAAGATATGCCTGGAATATGAAAGTAGTGTGGAATTTTTACTTCCTATTCATCCTTTGTTTAAGCTAAAAATATGCGCAATCATGTCACTGCTCTTGTTTATATAGCAAGGTTACTACCAATAGCGGTTGTGTTTTACGAAAGTATGAACTTTTATCACCATCCCTTCTACCTTCTTTATAAAAGTGTTTTTGGAGGCAAATGGATCACTAACCACTTTACTGATGAGAACAAGTATTCTCTGACAATCACAAGGGAGACCGGTCACTGAAGAATCGCGATTGACACCATTCGTTAAGATTGGGGATAAAACAAACAGGCTTGTGATTTATTGTTTCAAAAGCCGCTTAATTTGTTAATTGTAGCGCCATTTAGTCCGGCATTTCATGGTAAATATCACCTAGGGTATATGGAATTCAACTGTTCGTGGTGCATACAGAAAACGAATTAACGGATCGTGTTACAACAGCCACTACTTTGTCAGTACATCTAGTAGTCTACTTTTATTCATGTTCGGTCAAAAGGCAACTTATGTTTTGATAATGCTTGCAATTATGAATGCGGCTACAATCCTTCAAATGGATGATAAAAGATCATCGCATATGTTTTCATCAAAAAGGAGGCATTACCACCACAAAACCTGAAAATATGGTAGGTGGAGAAAAATGTGGGGATCGAAATGTTAGATGGAAATTTAAAATATGCCCGAAATAGGCGCTGTAAGTGAATGAGCTCTAGTAGATGCTTTCCTGCTGTTCATATTGAACAAATTCTCGTCGCTGATGACACGGTGGGGTAAAATCCATCACCCCTTAGGACAAGTTAATTAATGACGGCAGCAGCAATAGCAACAACGGGATGTGTTCGGAATGTTGCATTTTCAGACGAACTACATAACCGCTATTCAGTCGTGCTCAAGCGTGCTTGGCACACATTAAGGATGCGCAAACCGTGACTTCGAGGTCAGACCGGTTTAAACGCTCAGCATCTTCTAATCTGAGCTCCTCTTTTGCATTTAAAGGTGTAATTGTTGCTAAATCACGCATCGCAGTCTCGGTGTGATAAACAGTTAAATGAGATTGGGCCACTTTCTTGCCTTTTTTCTTTCCTTTTGTAGATACGCGTCCACCAGTCGTTGATCCAGAGGGGTGAGTCCGAACCAGTGGCATCCGATGCTGGAGACAGCGAATCATACCAGCAGACTAAAAGCGTTTCTCCAAAGCTTGTGGCTCATCGGTTGCCTGGATTAACTTTCGAATCCCTTTTATAGATCGCTTTAACTACACAAAACCCAGCTAAGTTCATCAGTTTGTGACTAGGCAATTTAGTCGCGTCTACTTTTTTTACTCAGTCTTCGTTTTGGTCCAAGGTAGCGCCTCATGCTATAACACCAGAAGGCTTCTGTGCTTGGAGACCTTTCGCGTTATCTGAATTTGTAATGCCAACTCCTCCGATCACTTTTCGATCGCTAAAATTTAAGCATCGCCTAAGTCACAGAGTTTTGACAACCTCCTCAAGACACGACACGTGAGCAGGAGGATTGAAGGAGCTGAAGTGGATCCACTTTTTTGTCCATCTCAACGCCCATTCTCCTCCAATTGCGTAGTCAAAGGTCTCCGTTTAATTTCAAAGTCTTTGTCCCCTTTTCTCCATCAAAGCGAAGACTTCACCTCACTTCAACTCTGCAGAGCGTTCGTTTTCACACAGAGGCCTTTTATAGTTTCCTGTATGAAGATTTTGCCATTAAATGGGCTGAAGATCCTCTTTTTTTGCAGTAGCAGCACGGTTTACTGATCAGAGCTGATAATAAGGGGCTCTATGTTGTGGAGATGGGTGCAACCTTACCCAATCCTCCCGCCCACCGAAACAACCGAAGGTGGAGTCCGTAACACCCTACGACGCGATGCATTCTTATTGCTGTTGCACTGACAGCTGAAAAAGGGCACGCCGAGCCTATTTTTGTGCCTTTCATAATGCCATTGACAGCTAAAGTTGAGTCTCCCACCTTGAAAGGTGTTGATGTGTTGGCCAGGGTCCACGAGGTCTTAAAACACAAATTGATCATCTGATCCGTGGACGAATGGCAAAAGCTCGACTTCACCTTTTAGGATTGCAAGACTGACATCTGACTCGAGATGTGACTTTCCAGGCGTTGAGAATTGCCCGGTCTCTGACCCACAGCTTACTTACCAGTGACTCCACAAGTGGGGAAGGTGAAGTCTAGAAAATCCTCCAACCAATCGAGGAGTGAGCATTGTGGAGAAGGGAAAGATGCGCAAGACGTTTTCCGCCCTCGGCTTTTGTGGCTCGCAAAACCTCGAGGCATTTCCTGAAGCTGCTAGGCGAAGAGCCTCGTGAAAGTGAACCATAAATGAGATAATCTGTAGGTGTAATTGAAGGAGACAAAAATCTTACCAAAAAATTCTATTCAGATGACAAAATTTGGGAGGAAAAAGGCACACCAAAATCCCCTCAATCACACAAATTGATGGGAAATGCAAAATTAGGCCACCTGTGTCGTGGAATTGGGCAAAGGTAAACGAAAATACCCTTAAGATGTTATTTTTAGCCTGGAGGCGGGAGGTGGGAACAGTTGTTCCGCTGCCTTAAGCCAGCATTGCTTGATGGAGGGAATTAAGTCCAACTTTCCTTCTCTCAAAACGACAACGATGTGTTTTTACTTGTTGATCTCGCACTCCTTCACGATGCTCATCATGAGGGTGCGTGAAGCGCCTCCTCGGCGCTCGACAACCACCTCCATGCACGGCGCAGGAATGACCTCCTCAGTCCTCCGCTCGGCGGGGCTTTCAAGTTCGATCCACTTAAGGTCGAATCGTTGATTTAACGCGTCCCCTGACCGGGGTCCACATCACCAGTCAAAGTTTTGCGTCTCAGGCACGCAAACCGACTGGACTGTAAACCAGGGCTGCCAGCATGGTGGATGACAAGTTGACAACAAGGTGGAAGGACATTTCTAGGTCTGAAGGTCGGTAAAATACTCCTCCCCTTGTTGCTGTCCGCAATACCGTTACTCGTTGTCTGTTTTTGTTCACTTCAACTGTGATAAATATTATTCACACTAATTTCAACCTCGCATTCTCTTCCAATCGGACACCTTGGACTTCCGACAATCGGAGAATTGGTTTACTACTGAAAATGTGAATAGATGGGTGGGTGAATGGGTGGATGGATAGTCACGGGGCGGGTGGATGGACAGGTTGGACAGGTCTTTCAGGCAGAAGGCTCCGGTAAATAGGTCATGCAGGTGAGTGATCGTCAAAAGGTGTCATGAGGGAGAGGCGTGCTGTGTGAATGGGGTGGGTGCGAGGAGGACGCCACGCTCTCGGCACATGATGTCTCTCAATCGGAGTGCTATAAATCACCCTCTCTGTTTAACTGCCTCCCTAAAAGTACAGACTACTCTTTCACCTTCTTTCTTTCTCTCTCTCGCTCTCTCTCCCCTTCAATCATCCGGTCATACAAACACACACTCCGTCGGATGCATTGGCGAGCCTTGAGGAAGACGTGGTTTTTGAACAGTCAACTCGAGAGGCACAAAAATTCATGGGGTCAGGTGAATGGCAACTTTGTTTTCGTTCACCGGTCAGTTGCGTGAGTCCATTGGACACGTCACAATCACAGGAAGAAAGGCATACAGAAGACCGTTGCTTTAACCACCTCTTTCTTCGAAGGCGGTGAAATAGGACCCACAAATACCAACCGGAGAATCAATTAGGTCGGCAGGTTGACCTTTAGTCTTTACCTGCAGGTTTAATTGATGAGATGTCACTTCGCGAAGGCACAGTTCCATCCACTTAGGTAATCGTAATCTTCCTAGCCGTTCGGAGTCATCTCTTCTAACAATTTTACCTCGACCGGTCACCTCGTTATCCCACTACTGCATAAACAAGGCAGAAATGCGTTTACACAGTGTTGCAACCACTGGAAGTGTTTTTTATTGCTGCCTACGACGCAATGCCGCATGTCAACCCATCAGAGAGGCAATCCCACCAAGCAAGAGGAGTCGTGACCCACCCTTTATTTCCACTTTATATCAGAGCCTTTATTTAATTGTGTTATGGAGGTGAGAAATTTATTCCCACGTTTCATGTTCAGTGGACCGACAGCGAGGGCAATTCTTCCCTTCCTCAGTCCATCAGCCCAGACAAAAAAGGCCCGATTTGCTAGGGTCCAACCTGCACCTTAATGACTGGGACGTCTTTACTCCTTCCTCCATAAATCACCTTTCCAGTTGTTAACTATCCAATGGGGAGTCCAAGGCGATGCGTTGTGACCCTAAAACCCTCAAATCACCTTGACGATTTCCTACACAAGTATCTCTTGTCTCTTAAGCTTGAATTGGGGAGAGAGGCTTTACCACCTTCACTCAGCCATTTGGAAAGATTAGTTGGCAGAAGACCTCCCGCGTCCGCGGAGAGAGAGAGAGTTATCTGCATTTGTACAGTAGTGGATTACATTACCCACAATACTGGGCAGCAGCATCAACAGAGAGCTGCTTTTAGCATGTCTGTGGGTACGCATGACAATTATATATACAGGTGAAGGTGATGATGTGCGAGGACTGAGCTATGTACACACGAACAGCCGCACACCTCAGTTGAGTAGTCGAGCAATCTGGATGCCCTTCTCTAGAAGACAACTGTCTCCCAACGACAGTTTCTGTCTCTCTGAGTAGGGAAGGTAGTAGGCACGACCGTCAGCTATAGGAATCCATTTGGGATGGTGGAGCCGAGTTGGATCAAACCGCTTAGTTCGACCCTTCAAAATGTCCTTTTGGATTTCCATCCAACAGAGGATGTAGGCCCTGTCCACTACTTCAGAATCATAGTACACCTCCGGACGGCGATTTATCAACAATCCATGCCCCTAAAAGATGGTAAGGGAAGTGTCAAAAGGCCTCCTCTTTAAGCTGCTTCAATGGATCTGACAACTCACCCACGCATTTGGAAGGGCAGAGGACTCTTCCACGAAGGCAAGAAAGACGAGGAGGATGATGACGGCAGTGACGGACAATGAGGAAGAAAAGAGTTTCTCCATTAGACAGTATTTTGAGTGCAATAAAGAAGGAAAGTACATTCACAACAATCTAGCTTTTATAAAAGAAAAGCCTGTCAAGTTTATTTATGTTTGTGAGCGTGTTGTAAGGACAATGGTTAACTGGACAAGTGAATAGTTGAATGAATGAAATGATGGGCAGGTGTGTGGCAAAGAGCTAGTTGAATGCGTTTGACGCAGACAGAACTAGGTTGGGTTCTCTCTGCGGACGCGTATTTATGCCCTCCAGCAGCGTGGAGGGGGCCCATCAGCTGTTCATGCAAATCCGTTCTTCAGATTGGCTACAAGTGGCCCTCTATTCTCATTGGTTTAAGCTGTGTGGTGCGGTGGTGTGTATTCACCTGCACGAGAGCGGGGATCAAATACTGTCCTTCAGGACTTTAACCTTAAGGTGTCCCCAAATTTTGCCTGATTGATTAAAGTTTTTTCTATATATGTAATCTCTAGTTAACAAGGCCCTTAAAGAATGGCATTCCAAGTTAGTAAGAATATTTATATTTTTAATGTTTCTTGGTAATGGTGTATGCGATTGCGCGATTTAACTATTACCGAAAATAAAATTTTGCAAAAGCAGTGGATTGAATTACTTCCCATTGTGTTTTAATTTGTCAATTTGGAAAGTGACTCAACTTCAAGGACGACGTGTGCATTTGAGTTCTCTAGCTGTTGGAAATGACTGCTTGATTTTTTATCAATAAACAGTCTTTATTAGAAAAGTTACTTGAGCAAGCGCATCTCATCTTGCGTTTTTCAGTTACTACAACAGTATTTTCGAACGGGCTATTAAATTATGTATTGCGTTCTCAAATACGAGAAAGTACACATTAATTGGGTACACTGGCAGTGTGTATTTGCGGAAAGGATTTTCAAATCATTCGGATGTCAAAATAGTGATTAACATTCGGAATCATAGCAGAATGAAGTGACTTGTAAATTACCATGGCGTGTGACTTTTCCGATCCTCAACTCCATGCGTTTGCAACTTCTTTTCTCCTTGTAACTCAAAACGCTTACAAGGTGTCAAAACCTTGGCATTTTGCAGCTTTTCTTAGGTTCATAATCACAGCTTACGTAAATACCTATTTGGAGGTTCATGCGTTAATGAAAAAACGCTACAACTTCCATTTTGTGATGCGTCAAGTGAAAAAGGCAAGGAAAGTTGAATATGAATGAGCGGCTGAAAGAAGGTGATTAAGTCTCTGTTTATTTCTATTAGCATAAGGGCATGGGCCCTCTGCATGATCCGTTGGCGTCATTAGTTTGTATATTGTCAGTTAAATGCGCAAACGATCGCGTGGTTGACACCCCCGAGCTGATGATAACCCTCCTTTGAGCATTACTTCAAAGCAACGAGTCCACTTCATCTTCTCCCTCTTAGTCAATCAGATTTCGATATTTTCTCGTTTTAGAGTGTCTGTTTTCCTTATGCACCTCATTTTGACTTGATCGCGAGTTGATCTCCTCTTCCAAAACACTTCAGTCTGAAAGTTGAACAATTCCACCTTACAAAATGGTGGAACTTTTCTAAATGAGAGTTAGTTGGTTAAATGGAGAATATTTTTATAAATTCGGCCTCAAAGTAATTTCTAGCGCTAAGCAATATCCTCGCCAGAGGGATGCAGCATTAATTGTCCCTCCATGAAAGAACCCACTGGCTTTTTGGTGTTCTATCCTGTCAGGTCTTGGTAGTTGACTGTGTTTAAATTTATCTTTTAAGTTACCGCCTTGACTCCAAAAAAAGAAGTGAGGAGGTGGCATCGACAAAGTTTGCACTTCCATCTACGGTCACCGTTAAATATGTCTTTGGAGTCGCCACGATGATGCAAGAAGGTAACTACTAAATAAAAGGTGTCTAAAAACGGTAAATAAATTCCATTTCAAGTTGAGCTTTGAAATGGATCTTAAAAGTTTGTCCAAAGGTTCGTATTCTGTCTGGTGAACGATAGATAATTGTAAGTATGCACTATCCTCAAGTGAAGGTATAAAGACAACCTTCATTTTCGGCGTTAGGCCCGAAGATGCTGGAAAGGTCAGAAGACACGCATTTGTGGTATGTCACACACGAACTCGTATAAACACCTCTGCCTACGCTTTCGTGGCTCACCAAAGTGCGTGTTCATTCACCTTCTCCTCAACAATCCGTCCATTCATCCAATTTGGTGCTGTCTGCAGGTTAAAGGTCCTACGTCAGGAGGTGTTTTTACAATGAAATTTTGCTGCTGTCCTCTGGGGTTAGGGAATATGAGAGGTTGACAGCTGTTGTAACAGGAGGCTAAGAGGAGGTGTGCTCCACTGCTGCGCGGGTGGTGTGAATGACGCGTCCTGTCTTTTTGGTCTCACTCAATCAAGCCCTGTGTCAGCTATGCTTGACATGGCCTTTAGCGCGGTCAATTGTCATTGGCATGGCAGACAAGCACGGATGCACTGATTATGATGGTCTGACCCCACTCAGGCAATTTTACTTCCTCTCCATACACCACCTCAAGTCATCATCCAATTGCAGCCAAAATTGCTTTCAAGCCTGTGGCTGGGACAGACGAGGTCAAAGGTTAACTGTGAATCACTTAAACCCAACGGTCGGAATAGCTAGTTGGGTGAAATGACGCGATTTTGGCCCTTCAAAGGTGATTAGGTCGGTGTTGTCTCCCAGACCGAGGGATTTACCTGTCTAGTAGGCACAGTAAGTCCCTCGTTTCAGTATGAAGACGAGACCTTGTGAAATTTTGGGGCTGAATTGCACACATTACACCGCCTACGCAATGCGTAGGATGGCTGTGTCATAAATTTCTCTTCATAAACTAGTAAATATATGTTAAGGGGAAAAAAATGGCCTCCCATTAAAAACTCAAAATCAAATGAGAGGAGAGTGGAGGGGACATCTTATGGAAGGAGTCAGTGTCTGTAGAGGAAGTTCAGCCGACGTCTCGACGAGTCATCATCCCTCCTCGGATGTGAAGATAATCATCAATTGGAAGGACTTATTTAAAGATTGTTGTAATCAGCGTCTTCAGATGACAAGGAGAAGGTTTTGCCTTCGGATTTTGCGGGCTACTTACGGACCACGACTTTTCTCCACGTGGGTAGAGCGTAAATCGCCTGCCTTTTCATAGTTAACGTACGTGAAGATATGAAATGCAGGGAGAATGGCGATTGGGAGGAGAACGGGGAGGTCAAAAGTGAGGCGTAAGAGGAGGGAGGGTGAGCGGGACACTGTTGTAAACGAGAATAAGAAGAGGAAGAAGTGAAGGAGGAAGTGGCGATGATGGTGGAGACTGTGAAGACAGAGGAGTGAGAACACTTCAAAGTATCTTTCCTCCTCCAACCAAGGAAGTGCGTCTCGGCCTCTGAGTAGATCCAACTCTAATTAGCTAAATGAAATAAGATTCGCTTTTAAGTGAATTTCTCTCTTCTTTTCACATTTTCATGTTTGCTCCCAACCAACCATGTTATTTAACTCGTTAATCTCATAATGACATGACATTTGTTCGTCTGTGGGTGGTTTGTGCTTTCGCGTAGGCGATCGGGTCTGAGGATCGTGCTTACAACCTACCAGCGCTTCAATAAGTACGGAACGCATCTGTTGGAATGATTGTAAACGCGTTTTTCCACATCAACACCCCTTCCTTGTAGACAGGAGATTAAAAAAGGGCTTTTAGTGATGTCTCCGTCCCACCGACGCGAAGAACGAGGTGATCATAGGAAGGAATTATAAAAAAAAGGCGGAGGATTGGAATCTTGGACTCCCGGAGGAACAAAGTCGCTTTGGACTCAGTCTCGCGTTGTTCAAGGCCTCTGTGCGATCCTGGATGGAAAAGCGTGGAGGTGTTCAAGCCTTGATGCTACATCCAAATGAAGGGGGACGGTGAGCGAGGCGCTCTTCGTCGGACAGAGCGAAAATTAATGACGCTGTGAAAGTGACTCCTCATGCTACAACAGTAACCGCAATGCGGTAAGGCAAGGCATGCCGCGGATCTCATTATTTTTTGTCGGGTCACAAGTGTACTGCGGGTGCGGTACGGAGGCCACACCCTCTTTGCTAAACAGTTAAAAATGCCATTTATTAGTCAATTGTGTTAGTAACTTTCGCACTCTTGCACTCAGTCTGCAAGGCGCGCTAGTGGCCACCTTGAGACCTTAAAAGTGGTTCCTCCCCTCACCACTGAGGTCATTCAGAGGTCACAACTGGCGATGTGCCAACCACGACACTGGCAATGCGTAAACAAGAACTTCACTAAAATTTGACTGCCAGTTTAACGAAATCCTGGCAGACATCTCGTTACGACTAGAGCCATTTCCATCTGTGAAAGGACTTTAAAAATACGCTTGAGAGGGAGGGCGAGAAGGTAATCCTGCCAGGCGTTTGCACTGCCAGGCCGCCTGAGGGGCGAGAAAAAGGCACCCGGGTATCATGTGTGTGTGTTTGCGATTGTGTCGTTGTCATTGTCAGTGGCAGTGCTTCCGTGTAGGGTGTGTCTCAACTCGTGCCTGCTCGTCTGCCTGCCTGCCTGCCTGCCTGCCTGTAGTAATGTAAACAGAGGAGACGCAGCACTCGTTCTCTCGCCCTCCCTACACACCGCGTAGTGACTCATGTGTCCACCGGCACCACTTCAGGTGTAGGACTGCCTGCCCGGTGTTCACCTCTCAACTGTCAGTGATGCAGGGAGCATCAGAGAGGTGCCTCATTGTCGATGAGACGATCGGAAGCAGGTAAATTTTCTTCTATAGATGCGTCAAGTAAGTAGACAGCTTTCCTTATCATCGCAACTTCTCTCGCCCCGCCAATGCGACAGGGTCAATCACTGGGCGTCCCCTTTAGGTCACATGGCTCAGCTTTTCAAAGTTGCCCCTCCGATTTTATCATTCGTCTTCGGGACATTTAAGTTATAGTGGTTCGCGCGTCCACCTTTCCAAGTCATATTTTTAGCCTCTTCATCCAGGCACTTTTTGAATAGCGGCGTGAGAGGCTGTTTCAGGTGGTGGAC